AAAAGCTGGAAGTGGTACTGTGGCTCAAGTGGTAGAGTGCTAGCCTTGAGCTGAGGAGTTGAAGGACAGCACCCACGCCTACAGTGCAGGCCCCACGACTGACCAAAAAAAAAAAAAAAAAGAACACACAGCTATTGAACAGATATAAATACATAGACCCATAGTGTCTAGATCTTCACTCAATTGGGGGTAGATTCTTCTGCATGAAATATCTTTAATACCCAGAGAAATAGGATCATCTTTTGTTTGAAAGTAAACTTCTCTTTGTACATCAATGGCCTCAACATTGTTGATTCTGAAAATTAGGCAAAGGCTTTTTCTTTAAGACACTGACAACGTCAGTGTTTTAATATACATTATATAATATATACTATAATATTACAAGTTAATACAATCATCAAGGTAATGCATATTGCCTAAGACTTAGTGACTAAATATACCCAACTTGGCGAAGATTCATTATCTCTGTCTGTAGATCTTCTATTGCCTTCTCAGCTTTCATGGCTTGTCTCAATGTTCAGTTTCCCATCTAGAAAGAATTTTGTGACAGAACAGCTTGCTCTGTAAGGTTCCCTTCTAGGTCCATAATTCCAATTTTGTTCTGCCTGCCTCACATTGTTAAAGTTCAAATTTCTCCATGCAACGTTATGCTTACTATTAGAGTCTAGTACACGGTACAAAGTTCTTTCATACAAATGAGAGCTTTTATTCACTGTATTTGTCTAAAATGAACTTGTGATTATTGCTTTAGATAATTTAACCTAGCCCATGTCTCTTCTTACAAGAGAACCAAAAGGAATGTCTAAAACTGTTCTTGGTGGTATTTTGTTTTAGTTAATCTTCATTATTAGCCATAATTCAGAGCTTTAAGGACTGGAGGTATAGCTCAGAGGTAGATCATATTAGAAGAGCTTTCTTTAAGCATAGAATTTGCTATTCTTTATTCAATAAAAAATAATAGACAAATAGTGTGGGACTTTGAGTTTAACAAATAAATAAAAGTACTTTATACTAACATGTAATAAAGCATAGTCTATACTCTAATTTCAAATGTGTTGTAGTGTATTTGTCTTTAGGTAATCCATTACTTAATTATACTAGTAGATCTCAATTGTTCAGACATAATGTTCTAGCTATTTTGCTATTCTATATGACATCATTCTCTAGAGAAGCACTAGGGGCTTATGGCGGAAAGTATACAAAAATGGTCTGGGGTCTAGTCTTCCCTAAACTTGAATTATCTCTATGGCCTCAGATTTCTCAGCTATAATCTTTAATTTACAAAGAAGTAGTCATCAAGTCAGATACTGCTGGCTCACATCTAAGGCTTCAACTACCTAGAAATCTGAGACCTAAAGAACCTAAAGCTTACCTAGGTAGAAAAATCCATATGATTCTATCTCCAATTGACTAGCAAAATGTCAGCTTAAAGAACGAAAGTATATTGAGACTACAAGGCCATGAGTTTAAGCCCTGGTACTAGCACTAAAAGAAAAACAAACAGACAACAAAAACTTAAAACATAACAACATAATTAAGATATATTGCAACTTTTTCTACTTTCATTGTTAATTATACGCAAACACAATCTTGAATATATTATCATTCAAACATCTGGGAATCAGTTGAACTGTTATTATCTCCATCTCATGAAAGGATGTTTACTCTGTATCCTCTTATAAATGGGTTTACACTGAACAACAGTCTCTCAAAGTATTTCTCATGTGCAATGTAGACTTTGTGTCGCTGCTTCTTTGCTTTAGCAGTAGCAGAATGTTCTCACTCTAAATATAAAATGATTTAAAAAAAGCAAGAAACAATATTTTCTTTAATTAGCTTCTTCCTTTGGGGGTTTTAGAAAAGAGGTTATGACTTGACAAAGATCCTTCCCATCTGTTCTGTTTGTTTGCTTTTTATTTTGACTTCCTTTCCTTGTCTTATCAAATATCACATGAATCATTAACATTTGTTTTCATCACTTGTTTTGATTTCCTTTGCTTCACATGATTAAGATATTATGTTGAGAGAGGTTCAGGGCTACCATATTTTACATTAACCTCATATTCTCTAAGTAAACTTTCTCGATATATAATCTTATATCTTTACCTTGTGCTGTGTCAGTGTTTTCCTTCAACTATTCAGTAGGGAGGCATGTGCACGAATACCTGTTGTGTGAAGGTTGCAGATTTCATTCGAGTACAGGTGTCTGGATTTAAGTTGTGAGCAAATAGATGTGATCTTTAATAAAACTACTTCCCAACTGGAAGTTTGATTTATTGAGCACTTTACTCAAAAGAGATATAAGAAATCCTTTTACATGTTTCCAAGGGCGGTCTACTAAAAATATAATGTATATCTTGTGTATTTTGTGATGCCTTTAATGATCATACTCTCTTGTTAATGATATGACATTATTTTCACACAATGATGAATTGGACGCTTCATATCACCCAACTAAGCAACTTGAAATTGTTCCAATTAATTTATATGTTATCCTCTAATTTAAATAATAATCTATAATGGAATACACACTAATCCAACTCATAGTTTCTAAACTGGTGATTAGGCTATTTAATACACTGGTTTTTATAGGTGAAATAAAGGATACACTGATTTTGTCTACAAGCTTTAAATATTATCAATGACTGCAGGAAATAACCTTAAAATCAGCCCTAAACTTAGATTGATGTGAACACCAAAATAGAGATTTTGTTATAGACTCTTTATTTTTCTTTTCAGTCACAACAAACAAACATGTAGATCCTGTATGTTTACTGGTTCCCATTGAACAGTTTCAAGTGTTATATTAAGGCCTGAGACTGGACGAATGGTGGATCATCAATGGTGGATCACTTCCCTAGCATATATAAGTTCTTGAGACCAATACCCATCATGGAAATAGAAATATTAGAAGAGGAAAAAACAAGAGAAAACAAAGCAAAACGTTATACTAAGATCATGTTTTACAAAGAATTTAAAAATGTTTCTTCATTATAGAATCTGTGGTTTCAAATCTGCATAATAATCTCACATGGCATACAAAATTTCACACCTGTGACAAACTATTCAGTAATTTAGATTCTTTCTTTACACCAAATTATGGCTGTACAAATCAAATCACAATGAACTTGAAACTATCAGGAATTTGTAATTTAAATAGTTTCACTCAACCCCTACTCCCAACTGCTTTTAATTAGAACCGACTTTTTAATTAAGTACTCCCACAAACAAAGTTGAGGTTGATGACTTTCCTGTCATATCATCCTCCCTTACAAAAGCAAATAATCACAGTGTCAAAGGAAGGCTTTTTTTGAAACAGAACATAAGAATTCTATCTCTATTTCCATTGAGTCTGGAGAGACCAAAACCAAAGTTACCCCTGGGAGCCCATCAAGGTTCTGGTCCCTGAAACAGTGAGTTGAAGTCAGAAACACTGACTTTTTTTTTTTCTCCAGTTGCACAGTTACAGGGAAAGTAGTATAATGAAATAGACACATTTGGATTCACACAGGTATCATATTTCTGCACCTCTATTTGGTAGTTCTGTGAAAATACAAAAGGTAATTAATCATGTTCAGCCTGGGTAATTTTATTTGGGAAAGACACTGAAAGTATCTTTTCTTCTGCTAGTTGTTGGTACATTCAGAGTTAAAAATCTACAGTATCTTGAACACAATAGGTGCTTCACAAACATTAGCTATAGTTATAATGATAATTATTTTCCTTATGGCCAGTTTCCTTGATCATAAAGAGAGGCAAGGTGTATTCATGCTCTGCCATGCTGTATGTGTGTGTGTGTGTGTGTGTGTGTGTGTGTGTGTGTGTACACACATGCCCTCATTTGCTCACATTCTATATTACTGGAGCCTGAAATTAGGATGTAGATGGTGCCCCTTAGTTTTTTTGCTTGCCTAAGTTAAATTTCTTTATTTTTAATATTTGATTTAGAAAACTTATTTAATATGGCAATAAGTACTAGTAAAACTAGTAGCAACATTCAGTATTAATGACAGATCACAGTTAGGGGCCCAAAGGGGGTAAGGTATTTTTAGATCTTCTATCTAGCTTAGATAGTTAATCACACTCCATATGCCTCTTGAAGCAATAGTGCACATTTAGAGTTCAGGACTTTAATATAATTTAAAATAATTTAGAAAACTTTTGTTTTCTGATCACTCTTCCTTCTATTGTAGATAAATTGAAGTGTATATATAATTTACCCAAAGATTTACAAACTTCAGGTCATACTTTGGAGGAGGCATGTTACCACATACTATATGGGAATATGCTTATGTTGTGTATAAGGTTTTACATTAGATTTAACATTCCCCTTTTCTTATTTCTCCTTCATTCATTGTGTTCAAAATTTGGTGTGTTTCTATTTTTCCAGATTATTATGGGTCTTATTTTTCCATTGGTAAAGGGGAGTAATCTATTAACAACTTGACATGTATTTGTTGAATTAGTCTCATTTCTAGAAGGAAAAGGTACAGTCCACTGACAGTGATGAAATAACTTTGGTGGCAGAAGCCACCATCTTAAGTAGTAACAAATGTGCACATAGTTGCATTCCATGGCATACTTACACCACCGAGGAGTAAGGTGAGGGCTCAGTCTTTCCTGATGCAGACACACCTGAGTGCCTTCACAGAAAATTTGGTTCTGCAAGCTTGCAGGAAGTAATTGTCATTCCACACAAATGAACAAGTTTTGCATATCAGTAGCACACACACACATACTCTTATCTACTTTCTGAGTGCTCTGGAACTGATATCAAAATAGCAAATATATATTTATGAGAACTAAAAGTGCTATGTTCTTCCTGATCATATAAACTCAAGGTAATTATGAAATTAATGTTCAGGATATGTGACACTGTTCCTTCCTAAGTTTCTGAAACTAAAATGAAGACCAGAAGTTTTATATCAAGCTATGTACTTTGTTGCTACCTATGTGCCCCAAAGGCTGTGATATTAATTATCTTTATTATTTATTTTTAGATGGGAGACTGTATTTGAAGACTACTGTCATGTACTGAATCTATCTGGTTGAAGAAATCAAGTTCATATAAAGAACTTTGCTGTCAGACATTTGTCATTGGCAAGTTTGGAAAAACTAAGGTCCTTTTAAGGAAACTTCTTCCATTTTGTGTAGTAATGTTCTTTAACATTTAAGTACTCTACAAAAACCAAACAGTTTCCTCCATTGATTTCGTCTGTGATTCATACCAGAGACCTGCGAATGTTTGTAAATGTACAAGTATCAAACTTCTTAGTTAATATCTTCAACTTTGCTGCTGGACACTTGTATACAGAGTTCAAGGCAGGTGTGACTAAGACCTAGCCTTTTTTTTTAAATGGAATGAATCATTTCCCTCTTCTGAAAATTCTGTATTTGAGCACATTGACAGACTCTTACAGCAGTGGTCACTAGACTTACAGAATTATGTCCCACCACACCATCAAGAAAATGTGGAAATGAAGTTGTAAGGGACATAGAGGATTATGAAACAAACAACAAAAAAAGTAATATTCTGTTACATTCAGTTTTAAACTCCGAATTGTGGGTTTTCTTCCGAATTTTTTTCAGATACTTTCAAAAAGACCAACAAATGGATGGTAACAACTCAGTGAATTATACATTTTGCTTATCTGAAAAGAAGCATTGACTATAAGCCAAAAGGTTTCACCGATGGTCTCTTTTACTTAAAAATTAAAAAAAATACATATATATCTAATTGTAACATGTTTTCATTCCAAACTGGTAGTGGTATATAGGATTAAAAATAATAATGTTGCTTCCTACTCAAACTGTTGGTCACATGTACAGTATATAAACATAAAACACACGAGGAAGGTATTATGTATGCAGTAGGATACTAGAGTTTAGGAAAATGACAATTTTAGAAAATATGTTTTTTGTCACCCTGTTGGTCAGAAAGAAGTCTTTCTGGTTTTAACGCATGCAGGCATGTAAATATTTGTCTGGAGTCACAGTATTAACGAATGAGATCTTAAGCTTCTGGTGACCTGAGAACTCTCAGTCCGCCATTTCTCTTTGTGTATCAATCCCTAGTCAGTGCTGCGAACTGCACTGTTGAGAATGGATTGTGGCTGACCGGTCAATCCCAACACCAGAAATATTTTTATATGTTAATGTCATATTATGTTAATGTTGCTACAAAAAAAAGAAGAAACAAAACTTAACGAACCTGTGTTGTATCAGTCGAATACCAATGTAACCCTGAGTGATAAAGTTGAACTGTGTTTTGCCTCCCATCACCGCAGAGGGGTGGGTGGGTTATGTGTTATTTTCACTGTCTTTTTGAAAGTTACAAGTATGTGTTTTCACTTTTGTGCAGATAACTGGAAGTAAAGCTGCAAATGATGCTTATTATATGCTAGTTATGTTCTCTCTCTCTCGCTCTCTTTTTTAAATACAACTAGAGTTCCACCTTTAAGGACTGATATAAATCAGTACTGTTACTGTCCCTCATATGATATCCTGTCATCGTAAACTTTTATGATTCTAACATTATTTATTACCATAAAACAACAAAATCTTAAGTGTCTAAGCAAACTAGATGGAAATGTTTAAAGATTGTATTAATTGGGTAATAATTACTTGGTTAAGAAAAATGTAACATTATAGATATTCTGGCACTAAGGTTTTTACACATTTTAGGTCTTCCTTGACATGCCAGAACCTTCATCTTTGATGTAACAAACTATTAAACAATTTAGTCCATTATTTGAGATATTATGAACAATTCCTATTTTAGCTTGCTTAAAAGGGAGAAATATTTTCCTTTAAATAATGTTCGTAAGTGCTTTGTAGAACCTTGGTTTTCTAAGTAGAGTTTGTTCCATAATCATCTTTCATTATTGAGCACAAGAGATTCTCTTCCTAGTTCTGTGCATTTTGGTTTGTTTGGTTTCCCATATGCAGTCTTTAAAGGATTGTAAGAACACTTAAGATTGAATGAACTTGTGGCAAGCTTTGGAATCATACACTTTTTGAAACTTTTTTTAAAGAAGCCTACAACTTACATATTGTCATAGAATCAGCCTTTGCTCTCCTTCTGGCATAGAGTCACCTGTTACGTGGGGTTAAATAATTTTGAAATTCATATTTTCAAGACCTTTGAGAATGCTTTAGTGTCTGGTTCAACATAAAAGGATATTTCAGCAAAGATTAAAGAAAAAAATGCTGTCAGCTGTATGTTAAGAGAGACTCTTTACTAACCTGTTGTAAATATTACAATTCACAAAATGTAATTGTAAGTCTGTAACTTAATCCCCCCTCCCTTTTTTCTTTTAGTTAAACTAGTTGGTTTAGAAATTTATGTTTTTGGCATAAATAAGTAAAATTGTGCCCACTTTATGGTTTCCATGCTTTTGTAATACTACAAATATTAATGTCTAGTTGTTCTATATTATAACCACATTTGCGCTCTATGCAAGCCCTTGGAATAGAACATACTCATCTTCATGTAGGACCTATGAAAATTGTCTATTTTTATCTATATATTTAAAGTTTTCTAAAAATGATAAAAGGTTATTACGAATTTTGTTGTACAAAATCTGTACAAAAATCTGTTTTTACATCATAATGCAAGAATTGGAAAATTTTTCTATGGTAGCCTAGTTATTTGAGCCTGGTTTCAATGTGAGAACCACGTTTACTGTTATTGTATTTAATTTTCTTTTTCTTTTCAACAATCTCCTAATAAAAATGTCTGAAATCTCCCTGTGACTTTATTTACAGTTCGTCTTTATTAAATTTTCGTGAAATGCAGAGCATTGAAGGAATATTTACTTTCTAATGGGAGGCATCTAAAAACAACATAAGTCAGCTATTTGCAATGGGAAGGAAACAATGCTCAATGATTTTATTTAACATGCAACTGCTTCTATCTCTAATATGAATTACTCTGGTGAAAAACATCATAAAAGCATACTCTGTAGTTATTGTTTAACAAGCAGATTTTCCATATTTTGTTTCTTGCCAGCTAAGCAAACTGCCCCCATATACATGATTTATTTATGTACATTTCACAGTTTATGAAGCTGTTATTTGTACCTTTTTCCTTTATATTCTTATATTCCCATGATTCTTATTTCACAAAGCTTTGTGCTGAATAATGTAAAGTAGACATGTTGATGGAACAAAATATATTATTCCCATATCTATAAGAGTGTAGATTTGTAACTCTAACTCAGTGTTTTGCTTTTGCTTTTGATTCTATTATTGGGGAAAATGCCTTCGGTAAAATATCCTTTAATATTATATAAACATTTTAATCAAACTAAAGTGCAACATTTGCAGAAATAGTAGGTTGCTATCTCTGTGAATATTCTAAATATTCTCAGGAGAATGGAACATGCATTTCTTTTCTGTTTAAATGAGTTATTTCAATGAATTCTTCAAACAGCATATAAACTAATTATGATACTTGTTTAATAAAAGCCTAAAATGTTTATGTGACCATTACAAACACATTTTTTGTCTTCTGTCATTATGTGTTTATATCAGTAAGGCTTGAGTTAGAACATTATGAAATCTCAGTGGAATTCAGGGATAATGTAGCCTTTCCCATGTGCTTTTGCTAAAATTTGTGGTCGGCAAAGTCCTTTATAACTGGAACAAAGTATTGAACAAATATAAATTCTAGATATTGCAATGCTAAAATACAGGGAGTGGACTTGTTAATAGAATTAAAACATTATTGTAAGTGGAAATGTTAAAAAAATGTTAAATTTCCTCATGCAGGTTTTGGTTTTCTATTCAATATGCTTGAGTAGGATATAATAATAGACTAGGTCCCCATAGATCAAGCATTTTTATTAATAAAGTTTTTCTACTGCACATAGCACTGTGCAGGATGCTATAATGACTGATGTTGAAAACATGTTTGTTTGGTTTTTTTAAATCTCAATTGACCTTATAATTTGATCAGAATTTTAAAATTTTTATTTGTTAGTCATGGGGCTTGAACTCTGGGCCTAGGCTCTGGGCCTCAGCTCTTCAGCTCAAGGCTAGTGCTTTACCACTTGAGCCACAGTTCCACTTTTGGTTTTTTGAGTGGTTTATTGGAGATGAGTCTCACAGCCTTTCCTGCCCGGTCTGGCTTTGAACCGCAATCCTCAAATCTCAGCCTCCTAAGCAGCTAGGACACAGGCATGAGCCACTGGTGCCTGACTTAGGATTTGAAATCTTAATTTCCAGAAGAAGATTCATTGGACATCTTCTCTACAGTAGTCAAACTACTATTAAGAGAGTCTTAGCTTAGGTCCACTTCCACTAGGTAGTAACTCTACAGTGTCCCATTTTCTACCTGACCTTGCAGAGAAAAGTTGGATAGGAATTAATACAGAGGAAATATTTTACTCTCTATTTTAAATCCCTATCAGTCATTATTTTCATGTTATTTCTTCATTTATTTCAGCCACAGCATTCTTAAGGAATGATCATGAACCAGCAAAAGGTAATAGCTTGCTTAATCACAGACAAATAAGCTGTAAGTTGAGATGTGGGATATATTTGAAAAATAGACTATGCACTATTTAATATTTATTTAGTTATTTGTAACATAATAATGACCTAAAGTAATTCAAACAGAGAGAATTAAATACCAGATTTAAAGGGAGTGCATGACATCTTGACTAGTGGCAAGAAGCTGGAGATATTGAATTGAAGAGCTGGATCTTTGGTTTTTGTAAGAAAAGCAAAATCCTGCAAAGGGAACTGGTTATATAGATAAGGGATATATATGTGATACCAAGGTAAGAAGTTAGCCAGTCATGTGTCCAGAGTTCAGGTACCGTGTTGTACCTTTTTACCTTTCTGTTTTGCTAAATGAGTCTCTCTACTCATTATGTATATGCTTCTGTTGTTCATCTTTTCAGAAGCATAACCCAGTCCATAGAAGTGAGAGCCAGTCATTTTCTCAGTCATATCCTAAGTCAAATTTCCTGAGCAATCTAATCATGTCATGGTAGAGTGTAAGTCAGTAAGGCATTTTGTCAATACATCACATTTTTAGTACTCCGTGGGTGTGTTTGTGTGTGTGTGTGTGTGTGTGTACATGTCAGTACTGGGGCTTAAACTCAGGTCCTGGACATTGTCCCAAAGATTTTTGTCTCAAGACTGCCACTGTATCACTTGAGCCACAATTTAAGTCTCCGA